TATGGAACAACAAAAGACCCCGAATAGCCAAAGGATTCCTGAGAAAAAAGAACAAAGCTGGAGGTATCACACTCCCCAATTTCAAATTATACTACAAAGCCATAGTAACCAAAACAGCATGGTACTGGCACAAAAACAGACACACAGATCAATGGAACAAAATTGAGAGCCCAGAAGTAAATCCACACGTTTATGGACAGCTAATATTCGACAAGGGAGCCAAGAGCATACGATGGAGAAAGGAGAGTCTCTTCAATAAATGGTGTTGGGAAAACTGGATAGCCACATGCAAAAGAATGAAAGTAGACCATTCCCTTACAGCATGCACAAAAATCAACTCAAAATGGATTAAAGACTTGAATGTAAGACCCGAAACCATGAGACTTCTAGAAGAAAACATAGGCAGTAGGCTCTATGACATTGGTCTGAGCAGCATATTTTCAAGTCCCATGTCTGACTGGGCAAGGGAAACAAAAGAAAAAATGAACAAATGGGACTACATCAAACTAAAAAGTTTCTGCACAGCAAAGGAAACCATCAACAAAATGAAAAGACAACCTAACAATTGGGAGAAGATATTTGCAAACCATATATCAGATAAGGGGTTAATATCCAAAATATACAAAGAACTCATACAGCTCAACAACAACAAAAAAACCCAACAATCCAATTAGAAAATGGGCAAAAGATCTGAACAGAGATTTCTCCAAAGAAGAAATACAGATGGCCAACAGGCATATGAAAAGATGCTCAACATCATTAGCTATCAGGGAAATGCAAATCAAAACTACAATGAGGTGTCACCTCACTCCGGTCAGAATGGCTATAATTAACAAGACAGGAAACAACAAATGTTGGAGAGGGTGTGGAGAGAAGGGAACCCTTGTTCACTGCTGGTGGCAGTGCAAACTGGTGCAGCCACTATGGAAAGCAGTTTGGGGTATCCTCAGAAAATTAAGGATAGATCTACCATATGATCCAGCTATTTCACTGCTGGGTATTTATTCCAAAGAACTTGAAAACACAAAGGCATAAAGATACTTGCACCCCTATGTTCATTGCGGCATTATACACAAGAGCCAAGACTTGGAAGCAACCTAGGTGCCCATCAAGGGACGAATGGATAAAGAAGATGTGGTATTTATACATGATGGACTACTACTCAGCCATAAGAAATGACGAAATCCAGCCATTTGTGACAACATGGATGGACCTTGAGGGTATTATGCTGAGTGAAATAAGTCAGAGGGAGAAAGTCAAATACCATATGATCTCACTCATAAGTAGAAGATAAAAATGACAAAAAAAAAAAACCCACATAGCATTGGAGATTGGACTGGTGGTTACCATTGGGGAAGGGGGGAGGGGGGAGGGCAAAAGGGGTGATTAGGGTCACATGTGAGGGGATGCACTATAATTAGTGTTCGGATGGTGAACATGATGTAATGTATCCAGAATTTGAAATATGATGTACATCTGAAAAAAATAAAAATTAAAAAAAATAAAATTTCATTTTTAATATAAATATATGTTAATTTTATATTAAAACTTATCTAAAATTTATTTAATCTGAATTATGAATTTGCCTAGTTCTTCTTGTAATTCTGTCAAACTTGCCTTAAATGCTTTGAGGCTATGTTATGATATGCAGACAAATTTAAAATCATTACATCCTGAGTGAATTGTTCCTTTATCATTATTAAGTGACCATCTTTATCTCCAGTTATATTTCCTGCCCTAAATTCTATTTTTTCAACAATTGATATGACTATACTATATTTATTTACTGGTATTTGTATGTTAAATCTTTTTCCATTATTGACTTTCAAGTTTTCTGTATCCTTACGTTTTTTAAAAAAGCTTTATTCGGCAATAATTTACATACCATACAATTAATCCATTTAAACTGTACAATTCAATGGTTTTTAGTATATTCACAAATATGTGCAACCATCATTACAGGTGATTTTAGAACATTTTCATCACCTCAAGAAGAAACCCCATACCCTTTAGCTATTACTCTCTCACGCCCCCATCATCCTCCTCTCCATCAATAAGCAACCACTAATCTACTTTCTGTCAATATAGATTTCCCTGTTATGCACTTTCATGTGAATTGAATCATATAACGTGTGGAATTTGGGGAATGGCTTCTTGCACTTAGCATGCTTTCAAAGTTGATTGAACTTGTAAAATGTATCAGTACTTCATTCCTTTTTATGGCAGAATAATATTCCATTGTATAGATTGTTTATCCATTCATCAGTTGGTTGACAATTGAGTTGTTTCCACTTCTTGGCTATTAAGAATATGCTACTATAACTATTCATGTACAAATTTTAGTGTAGACGTATGTTTTCATTTCTCTTGGATATATACCTAGGAGTGGAATTGCTGGGTTTAATAATTTGAGGAACTACCAGACTGTTTCCCAAAGTATCTGTACAATTTTACATTCCCATCAGCAGTGCATGAGGGTTCCAATTTCTCCATATTCTTGAAACACTTTTTATTATCTAATTTTGCTCTTCTGGTCATCCTAGTGAGCCTTGAAGGGCCAGCCCAAGTTGCCCGAAAGTCTTTCAGAATCAAAGCTCAAATTCTCCTACTCCCCCAAAAACGCCCAATTGCTTTCCTTCTTTCTCTTTTATTTTGCCCTGATAAGTCCACTTATCTTCTGATCAAATACACTTATTTGGATATCTAGATAGATGGATCCATATCCATACATACACACAGAACACACACACACCCACACACACACACACACATTCTAGCCCTTCGAATTGTTTTCAGTAGAATGATTCATCTAATTAGCCTAGGACATAATATAACTGAAATTAGAATTCTGCTCTTTTGCCCATTTTTTATTGAGTTTTTTTTCTGATTTATATGTAAGCTTCTTTATATATTCTGCCTAATAATCTTAATTTTAGTTATATGTGTTGCAAATGTCTTGTGTAGTTTATATGATTTTACTCAATAGCGTATTTTAATAACAAAGTTCTTAATTTTAATATAGTTGAATTCATCAATCTTTTCCTTTAGGGTTTTCATTTTTTTATGTCTATTATAAGAAATACTTCCTTACCCCAAGGTCATAAAAATATTCTCACGTATTTTCTTCTAAATGTGTTAATGTCCAGTCTTTCACATTTAAGCCCTTATCCATTTGGAATAGGTTTAGTGTGTATGAGGTTGGGATTCAATTTCATTATTTCATTATGTGTAACTGATTGTCCCAAGAGTATTTATTGAATAGTCCCATCTTTCACCAGTGATCTGCAGTGCCACCTGTGTCATATATCTATTTCCCATATATAAAGTCTTTCTCTTTTCCCTCATTAACCTATTTGTCTATTCATTTACGAACACCACACTGTCTTAAATATTAAGAATTTATAAGTTTTGATACTTAATAGAACAAGTATCACCAAAGGTCATTTTGACTATTCTTGTCCTTTTGCCTTTCCTTATGTATTTTAGAATTACATTGCCAATTTCCTCTAGAAATGTTGGTAAATTTTGATTAAAATTTCATTGAATCTATAGATCAGTTTGCAGGGAGCTGATACATTTTCTTTATCAAGTCCTCCGAATGGGTTTATTTATCCACCTATTTAAGTCATATTCAATTTCTCTAAATAAGATTTTATAATTTTCTCCATAAAGGCTCTCCACATATTTTGTTAGATTTATTCCTAGGTATGCATTTTTTAGTAAGCATCCCATCTTCTTTGGATTTAAAATGAGATGCTTCTAATAGCTCATCATAAGGAGTGGGATTTACTGTAGGTTTTTTGCAAATACTTTTATCAGGCTAAGGGAGCTACTTTTAATTCTTATTTATTTAGGACAGTTTTTAAATTTACGGCTTTTAAATTTTATTAAATACTTTGATTGTGAGCTTTATTTGGTTGATCTTAATCTGTGAAAGATCTGATGGCCTCCATCAAGGATGCTTCCTGTGAAGAGAAATATCCTTCCTTCAGTCAGAAGCCAGAGGACCACCATAGCCCGCTTCTAGGTTACCCAGCTTAATTTAAGAATTTTAGGTCAAATCGCACACCTTGTGCAAATCCCTACACACGAAAAGCTTGGTCTCCTGATTGTAGTAAAACTTGACATTTGCCCTCAGGGCAGCCTGCCTTTTGTGTATGTCTATAATTCACTGCTCTAACTTCAGTTCCATTTAGATTTTTTTTATTGGCTCCATTGGCAAAAACGTCTATGTATTCTGGATTTTGTTTGTTGTAAACAACTAGAAAATCCTTCCAATGCATACCTAATGTCTTAAGCGTAGTACAGACAGATTACCCTGTGCTGAATTCCCGTTTCCCCATGGGATTCATGTATTTATTTATTTAACAAGTTTCTATTGTGTCTACCATGTGCCAAGTAATATTCTTGGAACCAAGGGGAATGGTCATAAAAAAACAAAAAAACCAGATAGACAGAAATATCTTGCCTTCATGTGACTTACAGTAAAGTATAGACACAGATCAACAAGATCAACAAGATCATTTAACTATTTAAGGTGTTCAATAGAGTTAAGCACTAAGAAGAAAAAAAAACAGATCAAAGGGAATATGGATGGAAAGGTAGGTAAAAATGTAAGATAGGTTACCCCGGGAAGACCAGCCTGAGACGGTGTCTTTGAGTGAAGACTGGAAAGAAATAACGGAGCTGGCCATTGGGATATTCAGAGGAGATTTCTGGGCAAGCAAACAAGACCCAAACAAGCATAACAGTTGTATTCTAGAGCAGCAGAAGTCATTGTGATAAGAGCAGGGAAAAGAAGGAGAAAGTAGATGAAGATGAATTCAGAGAGGTTAAAGGGAATCAGACGACGTAGGACTATGTAGGTCAGAATTAAGACACTGGTTTTTACTTTGAGTGAGATAGGAAATTACTGGAGGGTTTGGAGCAGAAAGAAGTGATTTTTCTGACAAAGGTTTAAATAAGATTACTGCAAGATATTAGACATTCAGCATACTTACCTGCTGAGAACTTGAGTTTTGGTGTTGGTGAGAGAGGTTCATTTGCAAAAGAATATATTTTGGAAATCCAGAAATTAGCACAAGAATAAATACCAAATGTATCATGGATTTACCTGTAAAATAAAGGAAATGATAAAAGTGTAAGGAAATATGGATGAACAACTTTATAACCTGGGTGTACGTGAAAGCTCTCTCACTATGGCTAATAATCCAGATACAACAAAAGAAAAGATTGTTTGACTTGACTACATTAAAAAAATGTTTACAAGGCAAAAAACACCATAAACACATATCACTTGCACATCCATCAGAAGGGTAAAAATTAGAAACCTGGAAAAACATCTAGGGTTGGCAGGGATGTGGAGGCAGAAGAACCCTGATGCACTGTTGGTAGGAGTGCAGACCAATGTAAGGGGGCCAGTTTGGAATTTCTTAGTTGAGAATTCCGCATACTCCATAACCCAGTAATTCTGCTCTTAGGTAAATTTCCTGAAGAAATTCTTTTATAATTCCATATGGTACATATATAAGGACGTTTAGCTCAGGGACAATCTTCTTCAAGCAAAAAGAGGAAGATTGGCAATGGGTGTTAGCTCAGGGACAATCTGGCTCACGAAAACAAAACAAAACAAAAACATAATATCGAGTAAAAAAAAAAAAAAAGAAAGAGAATAAAGCCTATACCACAATAGCATCTATGTAAATTTAAAGCAGATGCCCATAAAACAAAACTATACATTTCGCAACGGCGCATGCAAATAAAAGGATACACATCCAACACACTAGAAAGGCTATTTCTGGAGTGGAAGAAGAGGTGTGGGAGTGAGGAAAGGAGATCAATGCAAAATTCTAAGGCTCTTCTTCTCTCCTTCCAAGCACATAGGAAGATTTCACTTCCCTGCCCACCTCTACTCTATAGTTGGGCAAGATCATGGGGTTAGTTCTGTCCGAAGAGTTGTGGGTAGAAGCCATGTGTGCTAATTCTAGACCAGAGCATTTAATTTCTGATGGGAGATCATCCAATGCTACGCTTGCAGTCGCCTACTGCAAATGATTACGAAAGCACGAGTTGAGAAGAAACTCCCACCAGCCTGGATCTCTGAATGAATACACGGAACTGAGCTTCCCTCAGCCCTCACCCTGCCAACCTGCGTTGGACATGTAGTTTTAGTGAGAAATTTTTGTTGTTTTAAGCTTCTGAGATTTGGGGGTGTTGGCTGTTGGCTACTGCAGCAGAGTCCTAGCCTATTCTGAGTAATACAGGGAATAATCAATTAAGCAAAACAAGAAAGGGGTCTTTCAGGGACCCATGATGCTGAGGAGCATGACTAATGCAAATGTGTGCACCCGAGCTTCCCCTACCCCACCCCAAATGAGGTGGAGAAAGAAGACAATGCAACTGCTTAAAGATCACACGGTCTTAAACTAGGACACGGCAACTACATTCAAAAGGATGCACAAGAACGAACACTGTGCCTGCCTAGATTTCAGCCAGGTTTTCACAAAATTCTCTGTGCTGTTTCCGTGGACAGGATGGAGACATGTAGGCTGAGAACTATGGCTATTGACTTTCTCACTGATGGAAATCCATCATATGCTACAAGGGCTGATGAGTGGATCCACATCAGCTTGAAGCTTCTTGCTAAAAAGCTGGGTCCTCAGTCTCACCACATTCAACCTTAAAGAAAAATAATCATAAACAAAGTCAAAAGATAACTGACTAATTGGGAGAAAATATGCACAAAAAATATAGAAAAATAGACAAAAACATAAACAGAGAACTCACAAAAGAATAAAAAATTAAAATGGCTATTAAATGTATCAAGATACGTTCAAGCTCACTCATAATAAGGGAAATGCAAATTAAAAGCACACTGAGATAAGGGCCAGCCTGGTGGTATAGTGGTTAAGTTTGCGCACTCCACTTTGGCAGCCTGGGGTTTGCGGGTTCAAATCCCAGGTGCAGACCTACATATCACTCATCAAGTCATACTGTGGCAGTGTCCCATATACAAAATAGAGGAAGATTGGCACAGATGTTAGTTCATGGACCATCTTCCTCAAGCAAAAAGAGGAAGATTGGCAACAGATGTTAGCTCAGGGCCAATCTTCTTCACCAAAAAAAAAAAAAAAAAAAAAGTACACTGAGATACAACTTCTCACCTATTTGATTGGCTAAAATTAAAAATTATGAAGACAACACATTTGATTAATGAGACTCTGGGGAAATAGGTGTTCTCATACATCCTAAATTGGAATGTAAATGATGCAACTCTTATTGAGGGAATTTGGCAATATCTAACAAAACTAATATATGATTACCTTTTAAACCAAGAATCCCACTTCTAGGAATTGGCACTGAAGATACACTTCTTATAACAGAAAAATATATATGCACAAAATTATTCTTTACAGCATTACATAAAATTGAAAAATATTAAATGCAACCTAAAATATATAGGAAAATGGATGAATAAACTGTGGTACCACCACATAATGAGGTACTAAAAGCTGTAAACGCCAGCTCTGGTGGGTTAGTGGTTAAGATTCAGCACTCTCACTGCTGCCCTCTTGGTTCGTTTCCTGGTCAGGGAGCTACACCAACCCATCTGTTGATTGTCACACTGTGGTGGCTGCATGTTGCTGTGATGCTGAAAGCCCTGCCACCCGTATTTCAAATACCAGCGGGGTTACCCATGGCGGATAGGTTTCAGCGGAGCTTCCAGACTAAAGACAAACCAGGAAGAAGGACCTCCCCATCCATTTCTGAGAAAAATTGAAAACCCCATAAGTAGCAGCAGAGTATTGTCTGATAGAGCGCTGGAAGGTGAGAGGATGGCACAAAAAGACTGAGCAGGGTTCTACTCTGCTGTACGCAGGGTCACTAAGAGTTGGAGTTGACTCAATGGCACCAACAATAAATAAGCTGTAAAAGAATGAGGAATATCTCTGAACTTATATAGAGTGAATTCCAGCATATCTGTTAGGCCAAAAAAAAAAAAAAAAGCAAAGTGCAAAAATGTACTTACAGCATGCTTTCATTTTATGTAATAAAGAAAGAGAAATAAGAAGACATACATGTGTCTGCTCATTTGGGCAAAATTAAAGACAGATAAGCCAGAAACTACGGAAACTGGGTACCCATAAAGGGTGAGTGGAAATGTAGCAGGAAGGAAGCGGGTGGGAGTAGAAGTGATGGACAGAAGTGGCATTTCTCTGATCATATCTTTTTACATAGTTCTGAAATTTGCAACTATGTTAATGTTTCACCTATGCAAAAATTACAAAATAGAAAAGGATAGGAAAAAACTAAAATGGAATACAAAGAAAACAAGTAAATCTAACTTTATAACATAACCACATTGAAGGGGGGAATAATTAATCTAACCAACTCTTGAGCAGAGCAACGTTATTTTTATGCTCTTGGACTAGAAACAAAACAAAAACTTTAAAAACTAGGTTTGCTTTCCACCATGGCATAGGATTAGCAATACCAAACCTACTTTCTGTGTATTCTAGGGTTGAGCAAATAAGTTACTACCTTGTGGATAACGGGAAGTGAGTATCTCACTGTTGGAGAAGGGAGTTACAAATATGGAAAGAGGGAAGGTTAAAATTACATCTATGTACTGGATTGGAATTTGAAGAATTGATATGAATTCATGACTTAGATATAAATATAGATGGAAATAGGTTTCAATAGATATAGGAATAGATATACATACATATATACCCTAGCATTGCCTTCTGAGAGGGTGTAGAAGCAATGATATTCCAATAGCAAGGAGCACACTTAGCATCCAGATCTTTGTTTTCAAATACCATTCCCTGCTGAAAGGAACCAGAATTGTTCAGAGAAATGCTAAGTTCCAGGGCTGGGTCTGGAAAAATGCAAGGTGAGCCTGGGACATCTTGTTTTGCCAGAAAAGAAGTGCTCCAAGAATGAGGGAAACCAGTAAATATGACACAGCCTACTTTGAGGGCTCCCACTGGCCAAATCAGGGGCGATTTGAGCACCAAAATAAATAATAATAATAAAAATTATGATCCACTGAAAAAATGAAGTCTATGTTGATACAGATATCGAGACCATATTGTTGTAAATAAATAAATAAGAGAGAAGGGGAAGCTTTTCGTGATAGTAGAATGACAACTAATGAATATAGAAGTAATGATGGAATGAGAAAAAATACCATTTGGCAGCCATTACAGTAATAATTGATTCAGGCAAGAATCATCTAAAATACTAAATACTAAAATTAGTGGGTGAAAATTTGATTAAAAATGAGATATTTACATAATTTTAAAGTATCTCCTCACAAAATGCTTGCTAATTAATTACAAAGGGAAAATGGTAACTTTACAGTAGACAAACCTAGCAGATACCATCTTAACTAAGTGATCAAAATTAACACCATCAGTAATGGGACAAATAGATAATATACGCCTCCTTATATAATGCACTGAAAGGACGCAACACCCCTTCTGTGTTAGTCTTACCAAAAATGCATAAGCTAAATCTAATCATGAAGAAACATCAGACAAAACCAAATTGAAGTAGGTGGTAGCCAGCCTCCAAACAGCCCCCAGTGATCCCCACCTCCTAATGTTTCCATCCACCCAGTGGGGAGTGCCCTCTCCCACTGAAATGGGCTGATCTGTGTATCTGATAGTCAAGATTCTCCAGAGAAACAGAACCAATAGGATATGTATATACATATATATACAGAGAGAGACAGGGAGAGAGACAGAGAGACACACACACACAGAGATGCATTATAAGGAACTGGTGCACACAATTATGGAGGCCAACAAGTCCCAAGATCTGCAACGTGAGACGGCAAGCTAGAAACCCAGGAGAGCCAATGGTGCAGCTCTAGTCTGAAAACCAGCATGCATGAGACCCAGGAAGAGCTGACATTTCAGTTTGAGTCTGAGGGCAAGAAAAAAGCCAATGTTCCAGTGTAAAGGTAGTCAAAAAGGAGGAATTCTCTCTTACTCACGGAATGGTCAGACTTTTCTTCTATTCAGGCCTTCAAATGATTGGATGAGGCCCACCCACATTAGGCAGGTCAATTTGCGTTACTCAGTCTACTGATTTAAATGTTAATCTCAGTGTTAATCTCAGGGGTTCTGGTCTAAAAGAGTGACAGGGGAGGTTCCTGAATGCACCTCCTCCCATGGACACGCTGAATCTAAGCTACACATGGAGCAATTCTCTCTGAAAGAAAGCCAGAAACTAGCTGAGTGATACCTACACATTGGGCAAATGGGAAACTCACATCAAAATGGGTAGGAGAGGCTGAGACACAATCTTGCCATAAACACCACCCCCAGCACAGTGACACACAGTTGGGCAGGAACTCACAATTCCAAGCTTCTCCTTGAGGAGTGAAGGGTTTGGACCCAATATCTAGCACCCCAACTTTTAAGACTTGCATCCTAGGGTTGGGCCCCCAAAACACCTAGCTCTGAAAGCCAATGGCTTGCATCCATGA